TGGGTGACTGGACAATTTACTTAATCTCTTTGGCTTCAGTTTCCTCAACTGTAAAATGGGGCTAATAATATGCATTTCATAGGGTTATTAAGAAGATTAAGTGAGGCCATATTTATAAAGTGCTTAGAACGAGGGCCTGGATGTTAAGCTAAGGGTTTGACATATGCTATTTACTATGCATATGATGAGTGAGGCTTAGAATTAATGTTTAGAAAAATATAAAATGTGGTTACTAATTTCTCTGCTCTGGATTTACTTGCTGATATTGCATAAATTTTATTTGCAAATTTTTCTTTTTGCATAATCTATGAATTTATATAAAAATAATGATTAATTCTCATGTGATAGATGTTATGTCTAACTTTTTAAGAATTATGGGGGGGGCATCTGGGTGGCTTAGTCAATTAAGCAGCTGCCTTCAGCTCAGGTCATGATCCCCGGGTCCTGGGATCGAGCCCCATGTGGGGCTCCCTGCTCAGCAGGGAGTCTCTTTCTCCCTTTCCCCTTGCCTGCCGCTCTGCCTACTGTGCTCTCTATCTGTCAAATAAATAAATAAAATCTTTAAAAAAAAGAATTATAAGGATGACATAGCATCAACTGTATATTGGAAGAGAAAAATTTCAAGGTAAATATCAGTGTAATAGTAGAATGTAAAAAATACAAATAACAATTTGTGAGGCTCTTTTAAGTTATTTATCAGTACATTTAATGATTATGCATGGAAGAAGATCCGGGATTTCAGAAGAGCTTGAAATATCAGAGCTTGAATCAGTAAAGATTGCAGAGAAGTGAATTAGAGAATGGGGAAATAGGGAATGGCCAAGAGAGCAGCCATTTTATGCAATCGTACATTGAATTATCATGCTTCAATTATAGTGGTAATTCATTAGCCTTAAATCTCTCACCATTGTGCCATGAGGGCAGGGAGGAAGTAAAATAAAGACTGGAATGTTGTGGAGTTTGAGGTCTTTGAAATTCTTCACATTGCTAGGCATTGGTCTTTCACCTCTGTGAAATTGTTACATTAGTACTTCCATAGTAGGAGGACAGGGTCGATTGAGGGATTTGGGACTAAGTGTTTAGTAGTGTGATTGTGTGTGAAAGTGTGTGTGTGTAGGGTAAATCAAGCCATATGTCTAAGCCAGAGAGCTCACAGAAAGTAAAAATGATAAGGCAAGTAGATATTGGCTTATTTTTGCAAGAACACACATCCTGGAAAATTCATCTAAGAAAGGAGAGGCAAGCAGGTACTTTTGTTCTAAGCTGTCAGCACTCAAATCCAGGAGGTGAAAGGATAGGCAATGGAGAACAAAGAGTCAGTGGCAAAAGGCCATTCTTTAATGTGCAGTAAGTATTCAAGATCCGTGCAAAGCTTCTACATAATGGGTAAGAGAGCAACATCTTCTTACCTGGTTTCAATTGTGGCTAAGGATGAATCTGACATTGGGGACATCTGACTGGAAAAAGTTTACTTCAAAAGCATTTATAGGTAGATAAATCAGTTTTTGAGCAAATTGACAGTACAAATTTGGGGGCATTATATCTTAAAGCAGCTCTAACTTATTAAAGCTTACTAGGCCTTTTGTTTTGGCTACCACAGCATTAACCAGCATAAGGTAGTTCTTTTTGTCTGTCGTGTGCACTGATTCTTTTTTTTAAAAAATTTTGATTCCAATATAGTTGACATACAGTGTTATATTAGTTTCAGGTATACAGTATAGTGACTCAACAATTCTATACACTACTCAGTCCTTGCCATGATAAGTATACTCTTTAATTCCCGTCACCTATTTCACCCGTCATCCTCACCCACCTCCCCTTTGGTAACCATCAGTTTGTTCTTTATAGTTAAAAGTCTCTTTCTTGGTTTGTCTCTCTTTCTCTCTCTCTTTTTTCCCCTTTTGTTCATTTGTTTTGTTTCTTAAATTTCACATATGAGTGAGATCATATGGCATTTGTCTTTCTCTAACTGACTTATTTTGCTTAGCATTATACTATCTAGCTCTGTCCATGTTGTTGCAAATGGCAAGATTTCATTCTTTTTTATGGTGGAATAATATTCCACTGCTTATATATGGACACTTGGACTGCTTTATAATGTCTTGGCTATTGTAAATAATGCTGCACAAAACATAGGGGTGCATGTATCCCTTTGAATTAGTGTTTTCGTATTCTTTGAGTAAACACCCACTAGTGCGATTACTGGATCGTAGGGTAGTTCTATTTTTAACTTCTTGAGGAACCTCCATACTGTTTCCCACAGTGGCTGCACCAGTTTGGTTACCACCAACAGTGCATGAGGGTTCCTATTTCTCCACAGCCTCACCAACACTTGTTTCTTGTGTTGTTGATTTTAGCCATTCTGACAGGTGTGAGGTGATGTCTCATAGTAGGGTTTTTTTTCAAATGTAGTGTTGATTTGCATTTCCCTGATGATGAGTGATGTTGAGCATCTTTCATGTGTCTGTCGGCAATGTGTCTTCTTTGGAGAAGTATATGTTCATGTCTTCTGCCCATTTTTAAATTGGATCACTTGTTTTTTTGGTGTTGAGTTGTATCAATTCTTTATATATTTTGGGTACTAACCCTTTATTGGATATGTAATTTGCAAATATCTTCTCCCATTCAGTAGGTTGCTTTTTAGCTTTGTGGACTGTTTCTTCAACTATGCAAAGCTTTTTATTTTGATAGTCCTCATGTGCACTGATTCTTAAGTGGCAGTATTGAAGAGGAGTTGGAAGACTGAGGGGGTAAAAGGTTTGGGTTTCTGGTTAAGCTACACCTTTCTCTTGATCCTGTCTTACTCTTCTGCTCTGCTTTTGGGTTCCTGCGCCAAGGGGCACAGCTCAGAAGAATCTGGGGCCTTTAGATTTTTCAAGGAGGTGCATTTACTAGAGGAGCACATTTTTCTCTTATTATATTGACTTTCATGGCATATCGTTGACTTGCAAACTCCTGGTCCCTTTAATGTTTTTCCAAGCACTGGCTCTCCATAAGAGGTAAGGGTGAGAGTTGAGAGGTCAGGGGTCTACTCCCCTAACCTTTGGATGGAGGGGGTAAAGGAATGGGGAAGAAAGGCTCATCCTCCCAAAGCTACTTTGAGAATTCTATGTGTTTCGACACCATTCTGTTGACTCTTAAACCACTAATTGTAGATGTTATTTTATTTTTTTAAAGATTTTATTTATTTATTTAAGAGAGAGAATGAGAGAGAGAGAGAGAGAGAGAGAGCATGAGCAGGGAGAGAAGCAGACTCCCCATTGAGCAGGAAGCCCGATGTGGGGTTTGATCCCAGGACCCTGGGATCTGACCTGAGCCGAAGGCAGATGCTTAACAACTGAGCCATCCAGTTACCCCTAGACTGCTTTATTTTCTTTTTTTTTCTTTTTTTTTTTTTAAAGATTTTATTTATTTATTCATGAAAGACAGAGAGAGAGAGAGAGAGAGAGAGGCAGGCAGAGGGAGAAGCAGGCTCCCAAGGAGCAGGACGCGGGACTCGATCCCAGGACCCCGGGATCATGACCTGAGCCGAAGGCAGACGCTTAACCATCTGAGCCACCCAGGCGCCCCGGAGACTGCTTTATTTTAAATGACATTTCATCACTGATTTTCTGACACCTGGTGAAATACTAAGCAATGGGGAAGTTGTCTTTACTATAGTCCAGTATTGTTACATAGCATATATCTTCAAGTACTCATGCCCTCAAGTGCCTGATTTCACTGTCTCAATCAAATTGGTTCACAGGAAGGAAAGCTTGAGAAGGGGAAGGGAGGGGGGGAAATATATATATAGTTTAATGTTTGGCAAGAGGGAAGATGAAACTGCTAACCTAAAAGAAAAAAATGCATGTTGTTTAATCTTTATCCCGTTTGCAGTGTTTTCTTCCCTTTCCTGGAGAGTTTTGCCTTGGGGTAGAAAATTCGTAGCATTTAAAGGATTTCTTTCTTCCCAGACATAATCTAAATGCATATGAGCTAGCCACATTAAGGCAGAGTTGTTTTGGGGAAGTCTGAATACCAGATGTGTGACAGCAAAATATTGGTGTTTTTTTGTAATTTGGCTCAAATGATCATTCTGGCTCTTTAAAGGTGAAAGTAACTGACAATAACTACTAAATCATGGTAGAATAATGTACCCGCAAAATGTCTGTGCCCTTTTCTGAAACTTATAAATAGGTAACCTTACATGGAAAAATGGACTTTGCAGATGTGATTAAGGATTTTGAGATGTGGAGATTATCTTGGAGTACCCAAGCAGTCCAATGTACTCACAAGGGTCTTTAAAAAAAAATTTTTTTTTTTTTAAGTAGGCTCCATGCCAACATGGGCCTTGAACTCACAACCCTGAGATCAAGACTTGAGTTGAGATCAAAAGTCGATGCTTAACTGACTGACTGAGCCACCCAGGCATCCCTCACAAGCGTCTTTATAAGAAGGAGGCAGGAGGGTTTACAATCCAAAGAGATGTGACAACGTAACAGAGGTGGGAATGATGCAGCCACAAGCCAAGGAATGCTCGTGGTCCCTAGAAGCTGGAAAAGGCAAAGAATGGGTTCTCTGCATGTGTCCAGAAAGAACACAGCCCTCTGACACCTGGCTTTTAACCCTGTCAGGTCCATTTTGGACTTCTGACCTCTAGAACTGTAAGATAAATTTGTGTTGTTTTAAGCCCCTGGGTTTGTGGTAATCAGTTATAGTAAATTAATCCCATGATGATTCTTCTAGAATTGTAGACCTTATAAGGGAGGATATTTTATTCCAAACTTTATTACTGAGGCTGTGTACCTCTTCAACTCAGAGAAGCTTCTAAAAATTACTGTGACTGGGAAATATAAAGGGATGGGCCAAGGACAGATAAATATCCTGTTTTACTTTGTAATCCAACGTTTAGACAAATCTGTTTATCTTGGGCACATTCAGTGCTTTACTGTAAAGTTGATCTGTGTGCAGCAGAAGTGAGAGGGGGACCAATGAGCTGAAAGAGAACTCAATCAATCTGCTTCCTCCGTTTTTGCTTCAGTGCTTCATACAGGAAATCTATTGCTGTGTCAAGTTCCAGAGAAGAGGTTCTTCTGTTCCAACTTACTAATCAGCCTAAAACACATAGTGGAAGGAAGAGGCTGGTAGAAAGGGAGTGTCCTGGTGCTGATGGCCTAAGAGGATCCAGCCGGGAGCTGCTAACCAGAGAGAGCCCCACCATGTCCAGAGCTCCTTTCACACCTGTGGGGAGGCAAAGTACCAAGTAGGCAGAATACAAGAAATCAGAAATGCCCCGCACTTGGAGAACTTCTAAGCTATGGCTTCTACTGATGTTGACTGTCTTCTTAGTGCCCGGTAAGTCTTAATTCTCTGTGAGGGAGCGACAGGAGAATGGCCAGAAACGTGGCTCAGCTTTTGCTGAGTTTTCTTTGCCTTTCTTGTGGAGCGAGGCAAGATAATGCAATCATAGAGCTGGGGGGAGGGGGTTACTCTCAGATTTATTTCACTTTATTCTCTTCATTTTGCTCTTTGTCTTACTTATTTTACTTTGTATCCTACAGTACTATAGGTATCTCTATAATTCGCCTCACTGCCCACTTCCTTATTTCCCTGTTCCCCCCCACCCCATGCTTTTCTGAACGAGGCAGAATAAATCAAGTATTTTCTAGTAGGGATCCAAGTCATCTGGGTTTTCTTTGCCCTTCAAAAAAATTAAATAATAATCCCACCGCATTCAGGTCCAAAATGTTCACAGTATAAATTAGGAAAGTTTATTGCTTTTAATCGCCTTCTGTGGCCAGGTGCTTTTTAAAATAGAACGCACTCACAGTTTAGTGGTGCATGTGTGAGGTATGTCTATTTATCTTTAAGACGTGTAGGCTGTAAAAGACACTTTCTGGATGAGAGGACACTGCAACATCTAGGTTCTCGTAGGAGTTGTAGGGCACTGGGGGCTCTAGGGGGTTGTCCTGGTTTCACTACAGAGGTTGGTAGGAGTTGATGTGGGAGGGAGTTTTCAGGTTTCACTTTTAGTAAATGGGAGCAGCTGCAAGGGAACAGTGTAGTTGGCATTACATTTTATAATTTGATCATTGAAAAAAGAAAAGACTTATAAAATACTGCCCACCTTCCAGCAAAAAATCTGTTTTCCACATGACAGTCTTCCTGGTGAGCGCAAGTAAAATAACCATACTGTATTCCTGTGCCTTTCTACGCAGAATTTTCACATACTTTTTGTCCTTTGATCTGCAAAGCCAAGCAGTGAAGTAGGCATGGAAGACAGTTTTCCATTTTATGAAGGTAGAAGCTGAGGCCTTGAGAGGTGAATTGACTTGTCCAACACCACTTGTCAATGGCAGAGTCACACCCAGTCAGGTCTGTAAGCATCACTAGGCATTTGAATAGGCTTATGCCTTTACTAAAAAGCACCACTATTTATAACACCACTGAAAAAAATTATGTCCAGTCTTAGTTATAAGCTTAGTGGACTACTTACTCACTTAAGAAAAATCAAGTGATCTAAATATTTCAGTAGTTGAGATCTGATTGTGGAAAGCAAGGATCCAACTTGGCAGGGAAGCCAGCCGGGGGGCAAGAGGCTATTATTCATGTCAAGTTACACTATGACTTTTGGGTAAAGGAAAAAAAAAATCAAGATGAAAATGATAATCTTGAATTGTAATGGTTTAAAGGTTTGAATTTTAAAACGATTTCTGAACACAACTAGAAGATACTACATAAATCAAATCTCTGAAAGCTGTGCTTGTATAATTATAAAATTATTGAAATGTTTAGGGTCGAGATACAAAAAAAACCAAATTATATTACATGCAGAGATTTTCATGATAAATTCACCATGAAATAATTTAGAATAATGAGAAACAAACTACTTGGGGCATGACTTTATGTCTTTATTACTAATACTGCTTTGTTACTAATACTGCCAAACAGAAATAACTCACTTTATTATACAAGATAAATTTACAAAGGTGCCTAAGAACTAATAACTTCAGGGTGCCTGGGTGGCTCACTCGGCCTTCGGCTCAGGTCATGATCCCAGGGTCCTGGGTTGGAGCCCTGTGTTGGGCTCCCTGCTCATGGGGAGTCTGCTTGTCTCTCTCCCTCTGCACCTCCTCCTGCTTGTGTTCTCTCTCTCACTCTCTCAAATTAATAAATAAAAATCTTTTTAAAAAAGAACTAATGACTTCAATGTAAAACATAGCATTTAAAAAATCTATTTACTTTTCTGTTGACTTATTTGCCTATGAATTCAAGCAGTGTGGTAGCTGGTAGACAAGGTTTATAAAAAATACCTAAGGGGAAAAATTAAAACAATGTAAGTGGTACGCTGTCCAGCAAGGCTCTCCAACTCTATGTCTGGTTTTCTTCCCTCACATTCTCCTTACTCTAGCCTATTAGTATTATAGATTTTTTCTTGTGTTCAAATTATATTTTGCTATCCTAATCAATTTGATTCTACCTTTTACAAAAGTCACTGATATTAAGATCCTGATTACTAAAAAGGACTCCTCCACTTTCTTTCTCCTTTGGCTAATTTTGTTCATTTGTCATTATCTTCCGCTAGAGGGCAGGCAGTAACAAGAAGAGGAAATAAAAATGAAAACAGGGCTGTTGGTAGCTTGGGCAGGTCTGCAAAAGATGGAAAAAAAAAAGATGAAAAACAATTACAAAAGAGAAGGGGTTTGTTTTCATTAATTTCAGTCCTGTCTTACTTTTCTAGTTTGAGAGTTATGAATTCACATAACGTTTTCCTCTAAACATCTATACTTAAGTAATTAATAAAGTAATAAAAAGTATTAAGAACACTGAATTATTTATGGTGTGTATGTTTGTGTGTGTGTGTGTGTGTGTGTGTGTGTGTGTGTGTGTGTGTGTGTATAGTGCCTAAAAGTTATTAGCAATATAAATTAGGGAGATCAAGGTAAGATGAAAGAATTGGAGAACATTTTAAATTAGTCAGTCTTGAAATTATCTATGAATCTAGTAAAATCCAAAGATGGGAGATACAGGGGGTTGGAGTTGTTGAAGTCTTAATGGAGGAAATGGGTCTTGAATCCATTTCCAAATCCATCCAAACTTATGGATAGGTGGATAGGTGGGGAAAGGCAAATGTTCAAATTGAAATTGAATGTGTTGTATTATTAAATGCCCTTTTGCTTTTTCATCCATGCATTGAATATTTTGGTGCTTTTCATTTTCTCAGTGAAATCTCAATCTCTGGGCACCAGGGTGGCTCAGATGGTTGAGCGGCTGCCTTTGGCTCAGGTCATGATCCCAGAGTCCTGGGATAGAGTTCCACATCGGGCTCCCTGCTCAGCGGGGAGCCTGCTTCTCCCTCTCCCTCTGCTGCTCCCCCTGCTTGTGCTCTTTTGCTCTCTCTCTCTCAAATAAATAAATAAAATCTTCAAAGAAAAATGTCAATCTCCTTTCCCTGAATTTCTAGATTCTTATATATCTCTGTGTTAGGTTTAAAAGTTTGTCATGAGATATACTTTTTTTAATTTAATTTTATTATGTTATGTTAATCACCATACATTACATCATTAGGTTTTGATGTAGTGTTCCATGATTCATTGTTTGCGCAGAACACCCAGTGCTCCCATTCAATATGTACCCTCTTTAATACCCAACACCATGCTAACCCATCCCCCGACCCCCTCCCTCTAGAACCGTCCATTTGTTTCTCAGAGTCCGTAGTGTCTCATGCTTAGTCTCCCCCTCCGATTTCCGCCCCTTCATTTTTCCCTTCTTGCTATCTTCTTCTTCTTCTTCTTTTTAACATATAATGTATTATTTGTTTCAGAGGTACAGGTCTGTGATTCAACAGTCTTACACAATTCACAGCGCTCACCATAGCATATACCTTCCCCAATGTCTATCACCCAGCCACCCCATCCCTCCCACCCCCCACCACTCCAGCAACCCTCTGTTTGTTTCCTGAGATTAAGAATTCCTCATATCAGTGAAATCATATGATAATGTCTTTCTCTGATTGTTTTATTTCGCTTGGCATAATACATGAGGTATACTTTTAACCACTAGCTGTGTCATCTTTTTAAGAAATTGTTTACCCTCTTTAAATGATAATTTCCTCATTTGTGAAATGGAGGAGAAGTATGACACTTTTGAGAAATACAGAGTTTTCAGACAGGAAGGGCTTTCGAAACCTTCAAATTAAATCCTTTCATTTTATACGTGGGCAAATAAAGCCTAGCATTGTTCAAGGAATTACTAAAGATATCACCCAACTTTTTAGTAAGTGAACTGAGCGTGAAACTCACCCATAGTGTCAAACATATAGGGTAAAAGAGATGTGGCAACTATGTGTGGGAAAATAGGAGATTCCTGTCTAGGAAAAATAAGTCAAAGCTAAAATGTGAGTTAGTTATTCTGTCAGTTAATAAGTAAGGGTATGTCGGTCATGTGTCAGAAACTGTGCTTCACGCTGGAGATACTTGAACAAGACAGACAAATCACGCTCTCACAAAGCTTAGAATCTCAGAAGAGAGGTAAGCATTAAATAAATCATTTACACATAATATATTGTGTAAGAAGAAATAGAGAGTGACATAGAAATGTGTAATTGGCAAGTCTAGTCTGGTATACTATGAGGGTCAGGGAAGGTCACTTTGGAAGTGATGTTTGAGATGAAGATGAGCAGAAAAGAGCTAGGCCTGGAAGAGTTGAGGGACTCACATTCCAGGCAGGTCAAACAGCTTGTATGAAGGGCAGAGGGAGCTAAACTATGACTGCAGTGGTAAAAAAAAAACAACAAGGAGAAATCAGCTGTTTAGAGGTCCAGTTGGGGTTCTGGGAGTGGGGGAGAATGATGAGAAAAAGTGCAGAGAGAAAGATGGGCAGATGAAACTTGGGGGAATGTCTGCATTAATGTGCCTCTGGACAAGGACAGGCTTGCAGAGAGAGTGGAGGAGACAGAGCAAACAAAGCACAAGGGTAGTGGTAGAGGCTAAGAAAAGATTTTTACAAGGAAAGGGAAGTGGTAAATAGCATCAAAATCTTCCAAACAACCTAGGGCACCAGCCCTGAAGAAAGGCTGAAAGTTTGACTTTCAAGGAGCTGGTGACCTTCAGAATTGTGTTTTGAATGGAAGCGTGTAGGAACCACAAGATTGCTGGTGTTGAGGAGAGGGTGGGTGTGGAGGAAATTGAGGCTGTATTCACAGACCACTCATTCTAGACGTTTGGCATTAGCAAAAGGAGAAAGGATCATAGCTAGAAGGAGAAAGCAGCATCTAATTTCTTTTCTTTCAGTCAGCATTGGGAGAAACCTGAGTGTGTTCAAAGGGTGTGATTTGAGAACATTCAGTGACTCAG